CCCCAAAACCCCAAAACCCCAAAACCCCGTGATAGTATAAATAGGTTGAACTTTATAATTTTAATAATATTAAATTAGAAATGAGCAAATTTGAAGATTTGACTTGTGAGCTTAGCCATTGCAAGAGAAAGGTTAAACACTTTGTACCTTGTGCTGATAAATATGTGTGTGGGTGCTGAAAGAAGCAGAAATACTTTAAGAGAGAGAGTTTCAGGCTTGTTGACCCTGAGGAGATTGTAAAGTCGTTGGAATATGGTAAGGATTGGTAATTTTTTGTTTTAATGTGAGGAGCAGCCTTATTAGCGAGGTAGTGACAGGTATCCATTTGGTTGATCAAATAATTTGGATTGTTATGTTTCCTCTTCATTACACTTCGTTTTCTGACTTGTTCGGAGGGTTTATGAATACCATGTGAAATTGAAGGATTTGTGGTTAATGTACCTATAGTGGAAATTAATATACAAGCTATCAAGAATGTAAGAGTTTATCGTTTATTTATCTTAAAGACTTGTGTTGGTCAAGAATCAGCTGTTACAGAAGCATGGAGAGACTTGAAAGGTTTCCTTGAAAGCTTTAAACAGAGAGCAGTCCAAGGTAGAGCCACATTAAAAGAACTCTTACATAACAAGAATTGGCCTGAACTAAGCCAGCTCGAACTTCAGACAGGTAATTACATAGCTTGTCTTTGAACAATAAGTTCTTATGTTTTAGATGCAATCGTTGAAGAGTTGAATGAAAGCCAAATATTCAGAGACTTCATTCACTATCAACATGCTGAGAATATCAGACTTAGTTCCAACGAAGTCCTTGCTGACAATGTTGCAATGCAAGAAAATTACAAGCTCAGAAGAGCCCTTGAGAAACTCGTAAGAGAAAAAGCGGCTACAGAAAGAAACTACAGAGGCCAGATTGCAGAATTGTTGAATAGTAAAGAAGAAATTGCAAGACAAAGAGAGCAATTCGCCAACGACCTTGAGGCTGCCCAACAAAGACTAGTAGAGCTTGAAGATGTACAAGCAAGAGTTCAAGAGCTCGAAGAGAGAAATACTGACTTGACAGAGATCTTGTTAAACATCAGACAGAAAGAGAGGAGCATCTGACTCAGATTAAAGATCTAAAGAGTAACTATGATGAACTTGTTCAAAACATTAAAGCAGAGATAACTTCAATGAAACAGCCTCAGGCCCAATCCTCTCTCAAAACCCACCCTCCTTGTGCAGCCCCTTCCGATCCTAAAGAAGAGTCTAAGACTCTTGATGTCTGTAAGAGAGCCGGTAACTTAACTATATTAGTCAGGGGATACGTTTAGTGGAATTCACCCCTTGGAATTTTAGAGGCCAAAGACTTTTTTGGAATGGAGATTTAGATATTTAGGAGGGAGAGAGAATATATTTTTGATATAGCTGTCCCAACAAGTATTGTCTTAGACATGTCAAAAGAATCAGACAAGAAAAGGCTGGAAGGCATGGATGAGTCCGAATTGGAAAACATGGAAAGCATAAAAATAAGTAATCTTGATAAGATTGAGATGGGTAAGCTAAGATTCTAATAATCGAAGTTAATAAAAACAACTTATCTACCCTATTCTCACCTAAATTCTCTAACCCACCTTAAGCCAACCCAGCCATTCCTTACTAACCCTTCCACAGACTCTTTCTTCATTTTCGCAGCCAAAATCCCTCGAGGACTCAAGTCTCTCAAACTCCAGTTTACTCTTTCAGTAACAAACGTTCACAGCAAAAATCACAACTTTTCTTTCCCTCACTTGGACTCGATCCTGAGTCTGAGCTCCAAGATCACTGAAAAACTGGTCGTCTACTGCAATGGCATGAATTCAAGGGAGAAATCAAAGATCTCCTTTGCGTTCAACAAAATTGAAGTGGAATATTGTAAGCATGGGTAGTTAATGAGTATAGACGGTAAGGAACATACTTAGGTTTAGAAGGAATGAAGGTGACTAGGTGTTGGTAAGGGAAGAAGTGGTAAGTTAAGGGGTAATTTTAGGTGAGATGATTATTCATTCAATGGAGATTTTGTTGTGTGGGGTTTTGGGGTTTTGGGGTTTTGGGGTTTTGGGG